CAATCACACCATCAGCAAGACTAACAGTATTTCTCCAGGCTCCTACATCGGATTTGCGGCCGACGACAACAACCAGTGGCGTGTCAGTCTTGGTATTCAGAATGTCCCTGCTGGCATCCTGGCCCTGCTGATCCTGCTGTTCCCTGAGTCACCTCGCTGGCTGATTCAAAATGGCCGCACCGAAGAGGGCCTTCAGACTCTGGCCAAGCTTCACGCACACGGCGATGTCAACGATGCTTGGGTTGTGGCCGAATTTTCTCAGATCGAGGATACGATCACTATCGAGAGGGAGGGTTCAGCCAAGTCGTACGCCGAGCTGTTCACTGACCGCTCGTGCTTCCGTCGCCTCTTCCTCGCTTGCGCCCTACAGGCCAGTGTCCAGATGACAGGTGTCTCGGCCATTCAGTACTACTCCCTCGCCATTTACGAGAAGATTGGCATTGCGGGTGACGATGCGCTCAAGTACCAGGCGATCTCCTCTTGCATTGTAAGTGCTCCGCTGTCTGCCTCGTGTGGCGTGCCGCTATGATAGAAATGCTAATTGCGACGCTGTCAGGCCTTGTTCGCCCAGTTCCTCACGATTCTGTTCATCGATAAGACGGGCCGTCGCTTCCCGCTCATTGGTGGCAACCTGCTGAATGCCGTCTGCTTCATCATCGCCACGATTCTGCTGGCCAAGTATCCTCCGCTGGATGGTGCCTCGAGCAACATTGGCGCCTCATGGGGCTTTATCGCTATGACCTGGCTGTACAACTTCTCGTTCAGCGCCACGTGCGGTCCTCTGTCATGGATTATCCCCGCCGAGATTTTCGACACCAAGACACGTTCCAAGGGTGTTTCGATCGCCACCATGACGAGCTTCGCCTTCAACACCATGATCGGCCAGACCACGAGTGTTGCTCTCGACGACAAGGATGGCATTGGCTGGAGGTGGTACATTCTGTTCATCGTGAGTTCTGTCTCCATGCCAAATGCGCTGGCTTCGATGCTAACCAATTTTTGCAGGTGTGCAACTTCACCAACGCTATCTTCTTCTGGGCATTCCTGCCCGAGACGGCCAGGCGCCCGCTGGAAGAGATGAGGTACCTCTTCACTGAGGCACCTCTGTTTGTGCCCAGGATGGACCCCTCGCAGGCGACTTCTCACGATTTGGAGCGCAGGATTCAGGACGCCGAGGCCAAGCAGGCTGGTGTGGATGCTGAAGATGAGCACGTCAAACTCTGATGGCCTTTCTTTATCTGATTTGCACAGCATTTGCTTGCCACGACGGACCTTAGGTTTCAGGTTAGAAGTTAGCTTTCGAATGACGGAAGCACGGCGACTGTCCATAGCTGAAGACCGGGTTTCGACCTTATGAATTAAAACTTCGGGCCCTGTGAACTCAAGATAGCGCTGGCTCTTTGTGTTGCTGTCAACCCTTGTAGTTTACGGCCGTTGTTGGCGAAAGATCTATCCAACCGCTTTTCGCCTCTGTCCAAGATTTGGTTGACAGCTCAGTCAATGATAGTTTCGTGACCATGTGTGGTCTTGCTCTTGCTACGTTCATTACTCCGTAGACTCCCAACTTTGAATCTGACCTGTTCGTTCTTTTCAATTCGGGCCAGCGCCCGCAGTCACCACACCAACTGGTTCCAGAGGTAATTGAGCGGGAAAGTCGATTTTCTACCGTCCAAGAGAACTACCAATGAGCACATTAGGCGAGTGTTCATCGTCCTTCGCATTACCACAGAGTGATATAGACAACAAGTTACATCAGAGTATGGTTCCGTTTTGGGCCTCCTGCATTTGACATGGCCACAGTTAGTAAAACTCTTTACTTCGACTCAACGCCAAGATACCTAGTGCTCAGCTACCCCTTATCGTCGTGTCGAATCTCCAAAAGCAAGGTCCACAGTCCGCTCTATCGTGGTCTTGGCAGTGACAGTCCGGTAATCCGCGGATTGTCCCACGTCGACCAGTCTATACGTGGATCCATACGATACCTGGGTCTCCAAAATGGCAGCAGGACAGACACATGACAATGCTTCGCATACAGAGTCAGCCAATATTTCTCAAGCTGGTAGGTAGTAGTTCCGCCGATCGAAACCGCATCGACCGAGAATTAAGGCTTTAACGCTCCATCGCTCCATGTCATCGTCCTTCTCAAGGTCCGGTGACAACCACCAAGCACAAGCTGCGGGCTGACCATCGTATCATCGGTCTTGGCGCCGTGCTCACGCCCTGCATGCCGACCGGGCGACTGTAATGCTAGAAACCCGTTATTGGGGCTTCGACGTCGCATCCCGCTCCAGCAGCCCACGCCGGGCAGCTGAGAGCAAATACGCGCTCCGACTCGCACGCCTCGGCGCACAGATACGAACCCCGCCGTCCTTCCCAAGGTTGCATCGGTCGCGGCGCGTGAGGGCGGCGTGCTTTGCCAAGTAGGGTGTGAGGCCCCCGAGAGCCGAATGCCTCAACTGCGAGGAGCCCCGTATTACTCATCGCTGTGGGCAGTGATCATGCGTGAGCGGCAGGGCCGAAGGGGGGATGCACGAGGGTGGGAAGGCCTCTATCTCCGGAGTCGCTGCCTTCGGGCGGGTATCGAAAGCGCTTGGCATACGAGGAGAGCCAAGAACTTGGCAGAAGGCTCGGTGACGGAAAGCGGCAAGAGATGCATGAAGGGACGGATTGCAGGCGCTGCTGCGACCCAAGAAACTGCCGACTGCCATTTAGACGGGTTTTCCGACGGGATTTGTCGGTTATGCAGGGGCAGTATGTAGGTACAGTGCCATTCACCGCACATAGCCTGGTCCAGGGGCTGGTTCCTCTTGTTCCTGGGCTCTATGGACCCTGTGCTCCAGGGCGCGGGATATCGGGACGTTGAGACCGGATTCGAAAAGTGATCAACGCGCCGCGAGACTCGAGAAGTTTTGAGGCAAGACTCTAGGTTCCTCCAATAATACGACCAAACAGGGGTGTCTCCGGCATTAAGGTTAACCTCCCGGGAACTGGGCGGCGGAGCAGGCAAAAAAAAAAAAAAAGAGATGCGATGACGATGGTGGTGGTGGTGTCAAGCGGCTGCTAGGCTCTCGTTGTGACAGGGCATCCATCTCCTCTACTGACCAGCCGGGCTAGCCAGTGACCACCCACCTGTAAGGCTGCATGTTGCGCCGTGGCGTGTTGCATCGAGAGGCCTGTGTCTCGCAAACAAGCGAGGCCCAGAGCCAATCGTCCCAACCTTACCATACCCTGTCAGTCACCTGAAGTGCTTTCTTGCCCTTGCCTGCTTGGCATCAGAAGAAGAAGCGCGACCGATACCGTGGAAGAGACTCTTGGCCACCCGGGAATCTTTTGAGCGCTCTGAGGACAAGGAGGAGGGGGCTTCAAGGAAATGTCTCAACCACTGTTGCTTCACCACCAAGTCACCACTGAGGAGTCGTCGGGGGCCGTGCTGGCGCCATTTGACTCATGCTTAATATGCTTAAAGCCAAAAGTACATGTACCTTGCTCGAGAGGTACATGTACCTGACTGGGAATCAGGGGAAAGGGGGAAAGGGGGGCTATAGCCTGATGAGACGATGGACAAAGAAACCTTATCCCGGTTGAAAGACAATGATTGAATGCCACATCCTCCGTCGGAACGGCTCGCTCGATCTTGGTCTTGGAGAAAGAGTGGTAGCTCAGCACAGCACAGCACATCATGCGTGCACAGAGATCTGATTTGTCTTCTCATGCCATGGCAGCAGGCGGCAGAGAGAGATGTAGGTCGGAGATGAGATTGATCCTCCGCCACAATGCCCCCCTGCTTCTCCCGCCCGAACGCCAATAGGGGCGTTATCGACCTCAAGTCGTGCGGCACAGCAACCACACTGGCCTTGCTGAATGGGTGGTCAGCCGAGGCCTTTCCTCCTACCCTAATCGTGATTCCGCAATTTTTTTCCCCTTCATTTTCCTCCTTTCGCCCCTCCTCCTCCTTCTCGCAACCGCCGACGGGACTCGAACCGAAAGGGATCAGTTGCCACGCGCATGACGCACGGTCGAATAGTCTCGGGATCCTTCTGCTCACGAGTTCACGATGATGGACGCCAAGTGGCTGACCATGCACAAATGTGCCGTCTCGAATCCCTGGAAACAACCGCTCATCCCACCATCACCCCATGACTGACCCCATAGCCGTGCTTTTGTGTCCCCCTATTGCCCCTCGGCCTAGCTCCAGGCCCGAACATGAAGCGGCGCGACGGGTGCGCTGGCGTGTGGAGAGGCCGGCTTGAGTGCCAACCACAGGTCCCAAACAACCCACCACAAGAGCGACTTTGGGGGCTACTAGCGCTGCCAATAAATGGGTGCGAAAGGGGGGGGGGCCTGGCCCATCCGGTGAAGCCGCCACGCCGAGCCCTAGAACCCGCTGTGTGGAAAGGTTCTAGGTAACCATCATCGCGCGCCGCTCAGGCTCCTCGACCAAGTGTCCGTGAGATTACGGGTGCCAAGAACTAGGCTGCTTTAGGCCCTGGCGGTAATACGAGCTGCACCAGGGGATCGCAAGGTGAGGGCTAACCTCATCAGGGCGGGCAACCACAAGCACTCATCCAGTGCCCCTGGCCCGCCTCAGCTCACCACATTGTGCTCATGTGGTGCTCGTTAAGGTTGTCTTTCGATCCGTGTGGTGTCCCACTGATTGTCGTGTGGCCGCGATTTGATCGAGGCGAGGCAGCCACTCCGACGCCATACCCTCACCCCCTGACCTGCCTGATGAGTGCCCCCCTGGATAGAAGCAATTCACACTAGACAGGGTACACTGGTCAGAGCTGCAGATGTAGTTTTTTTTTTCTCTCCGCTCGCTAAACGTTCTGACGCATGATACCTGGTCCTTGTGTTGTTGGGCTGGTGTCGGTCTCTTGGCCCCGGTTACTGTGCCTCTTTTGGGGGCTTTCGCCAGCGCCTTGAATGTTTATAAGTAAAAGGGATCATGGCCCCCATCCATCGTGGATTTCTGATAGAAGACAGCCGAGACTTCTGAAGCCTTCGTTCCACCTCACAGTCGTTTGCACTGCCCACACTCGCTCAACACCTACATTCGTTTAACGCAACCTAACATAATGTTTGTCAACCTCCGCAACTGCGTGCTCGGCCTCCTGGTCGCCGGTGCCACCGCCTCGCCCATCACCAAGGACCTGGCCACCATCGAGAAGAGGCAGAACCTGCCCAACGGCGTCGCCATCTTCAAGTGCACCGTTCCCAACACCATCGCCTTGACCTTCGACGATGGCCCTCACATTTGGACCGAGAACGCCGTCAACCAGCTCGAGGCCGCCGGCATGAAGGGTACCTTCTTCCTCAACGGCAAGAACTTTGGCGAGCTCAAGAACTATGTTCCTCTCCTCAAGCGCATGCGCGCCAACCGCCACCAGATCGGTTCTCACACGTATGTCTTGGCGCACCCTGGTCTTTCTTCGAGACCTACCGTCCATTGTTTCTTGTTCCTGAGACAGCGTCTCGCTAACACGCTCTTCATAGTTGGGACCACCCTTACCTCACTCAGCTCAGCGATGCCGCTGTCCGCAAGCAGATGACCGACTTTGAGAACGAGCTCCGTCGTCTCATCGGGTACTACCCCACCTACATGCGCCCTCCTTACTTCGACTACAACGCCAAGACCCTCGCCGTCATGAAGGAGCTCGGCTACCGCGTCATCCATGCCGACCTGGACACCAACGACTGGAAGTTCGACATGCCCGCCTCCATCGCCGCCTTCAAGGCCGGTGTCGCCAACAACCGCATCGTTCTCGCTCACGACGTCCACGAGACCACCGTCAAGACCCTGCTCCCTGCCATGATCAAGGAGGTCCAGAGGCTCAAGCTTAAGGGTATGTCGAGTCTTCCCCATTGCCTCCTCAATCCGCACAGTAAACTGATTTCTCTTGTGCAACAGCCGTCACTGTCGGCGAGTGCCTCGGCGAGCCTTACGCCTACTGGTACAGGGTCACTCCCCGCGCTTAGATGTCCTCATCGAGGGCCCAAGTGGCCTGGGTTGCGAAGGATGAAGCCGTATATTAATGATCACGAATGTCAGCCTGAATCTATTGTAGCATGCGCGCTTTTGCCGCTCTCACATGTCATTGTGTATAGAACCTCAAGTATTATTATTCACTACATTTATGATCCATTTTCGGTGCACCATTTGTCACTGTAGGCTGTATGTCCTTGCGTCACAGTGTTCATGTGATTCATGCCAAATATGGGTTCAATCCTGAAGGTCTCTATCTCCTTCCCCGCATTACCAGGCATCAAGGGCTATCCCCTTTCCAAGTGGCGCCTTGTCAGTAGGTTTGGTGTGAAGAGACTCTCGGAGCATATGTGAATCGATACCGTCATTCAAACCGATTTGAATGCCAAGAGTGGGAATCTTGCGTCAAATACAGCAGCCAAACACACCACTCATCATATCCAGTGGACTGTTGGTAAGGAGCATCTCGCCCATGACATCTTTCTCTCCGCTATGATATCACATTGCTATGGTCGATTCGGCGGTGAGAAGCCCGAGAGGCGCTTGATCACGCTACTAGGGGCTGGTGTCGAGTCAGTTGGCGTAGCGCTGGCGCATCTAGGCGGCGCGCGCGCACACACCTACACTAATGTTTCCAAGCACCTGGGCTACTAATACGAGGTCTGATCCTTGGCATGCAGGGATGAAATCACCAAGTCTGATGTCCAGGGAAACGTGTCAGAAATCCATCTCCAGATTTCGGAATATGTTTATCTTGGTTGTCCCCGCATGGATTCAGTTGAAGTGCCGTTTTGCCGGGCCATTCCGGCTCTTCGATCTTGCGAGTTTGAACTGACACATGGAACTTCACAAAGACAAGGGTGCATACGACGGCAACTACGGGCAATCTTGAGTCGCCAGTCTCGCAACCCGCCGGAAGATTCGGAAAGGTAATACCGCCGGCTGGGCTCAGAGTTTACGAGGACAAAGATGAGGAGATTTGAGCCAGGGTGAGTGATTAAGAATATATGATACTACTTTACATGCGGTCGATCTCATCAGAGAGCCTTGTAGTGTGAACCATTCGCAATCGTCCGTATGCTCGTGAAGCAAATTAGAAAGAGGAAACTATGCTTCGCGGACGTGAGTCGTTGCTCCTCTCTTCATCTCATGCCTCACTCCTCCTCAAACCAGTCATCCTCAAGGTCCCACTCCTCCGAGTCAGAAGCCTCGCTGAGGGTCGTGTAGTCGTCGCCGGCCGCGTACTCGCCCTGCATCAGGGTGAGCGGGTAGCATCCGGTGACCTTGCCACCAGTGACAGTGTACTGGAGATCCTCGCTCATGAGCATGGCGGCACCGTCCTCAGGGTCCTTGGCGAGGAAGATCTTGGAACCCGAGTTGTCCTCAAAGTCACAGACAAGCAGGTAGAAAACCTGCTCATTGGGATCGACAGCCAGGTAGAAGTAGTCATCGGTCTTGTCATCCTCGCTATAGGGAGCAAAGGCGACGACGACACCAGCCGAGGGGATGTTCTCCTGGTCGTCGAGACGGAGGCGAGAGACGCCGACGGCGGACATGGAGTTGTTGTAGTAATGCATGAGACGCTGGCTACCGTCGGTGACGAGGACGTCGTTCTTGGCCGACCACATCTCAGAGCAGTGCTCATTATCCTCGCCATCGACACCAAAGGCGTACATGTTGCCGTTGGAGCAGGAGACGATCATGGTAGTGGCCTCAGGATCAACTAGAAGCGCAAGGTCATAACCGGTGCTTGTGTTGTAAGGGCGGTTGGGGAGGGTCTCAGGGGTGTAGCTCAGGACGCTGGTGCCATTGCCCTTGATCTTGGAGGTGATGTCGACGACCTTGCCCGTGATGTTTGCAGGGGTGGTAACCACAGCAGATGTGGTTGCCTGACGAGCGCGGACCTTGGTGGCTTCCTGGAAGTCAGAGTTCTCGAAGTCCTCCTCAGAGCCACCATCGACATCCTCGGGGTTCTCCTCGCCACCGTCTTCGGGGTTCTCCTCGCCACTGTCTTCGGGGTTCTCCTCGCCGCCGTCCTCCGGGTTCTCCTCGGGGTCGGTGGGATCAGTGGGATCCTCGGGGTCGGTGGGATCCTCGGGATCGGTGGGATCCTCGGGGTCGGTGGGATCAGTGGGGTCCTCGGGTCCACGGGGTCGGTGGGCCCCTCAGATCGGTAGGATCAGTTGGTTCTCGGGATCCGTAGAAGGTTGGACGTCGCGGGGTTGGCAAGGCGTGGCAGAAGCCGTAGGGTCGGCGGTGGCATTCGGCTCCTGGCCAGGAACACCAGGGAGGCTGCTTCTTGTTATTCGGTGCTCACTCGGTGACAAGCTCTCGAATAAGTTGGGGAAAACTTACGGAATGCAACCGCGGGCAAGCGGTCTATCATCAGTGTCCAGCAGGGGAATCTCAGTGGTTCCGAAGATGTCAATGAACAGCTTGTTCCTCCAGCTGATCTGGGTGCTAATGCCCGTGCACCCGTCAATGTCCTTGAATCCGGCGGCAAATTTCTTCTCCTCAGTCAGCTCGATGGAGGCAGCCACCTGCGCAACACCCTTGATCGAGGGCTCGTCGATGAGACCGACGGACTTGTCCCACTGGCTGATCTGGAGACCGCAGCGGATACCGATGGGCAGGCCCAGAGTCGCAGCGAGCATAATCTCGCCCTCGGCCTCGAAAACTGGCTTGAAGTAGGGGTCCCAGCCGTTGCGCTTGCTGTTGGAGGGGTTGACAAAGTCAATGAGCACGTGTGCGTTCTGCAGGCCCATCTCGGCACCGGCAAGAAGCTTGCCCTTGGCCTCGGCCTCAAGCTCAACGCGGGAGCCAACGGTGATGCGAGGACCGATGGTAACGACACCGTAGGACAGACCAGGGAGGCCGACATTCAGAAGCGTGTGACTGAACTCTCGCTTGTAGCTCATCTGGGCGTCGATGCCGAGCTTGAGTACGAACTTGATGTCCGTGTTCACCTCAACCTCGCCCTGGGTGAAGACACCACCGAGGGGAGTCCAGGCAGCGCGGCCAGCGAGCTTGGCGCTGCCGGAAACACCACAGCCAACGCAGAAGACGTTCATGTAGCCATTGAGCTTCTTGTTTTCATCGCCCTCCTGGTTTCCGAAAGCCTTGAGAAGGATCGAGTCACCCCACGGAGAAGTGACCTGTTTGGTCTCAGGATCCTTGAGGGTCTTGGCATCAGGATCATTGGAGGAGGAGTCAGGAAGCTTCCAACTGACTTCCTTGTTGATGCTGCCATGAATAGAGCTCGCTTCTTGGGCAGTCTTGTACCCCTGCTTGATGGGCTGGACAACATACGTGTCGACAATGTCACACAGGAAGCCACAGGAACGCTTGTTCAGGACATTGATTCCCCGTTTTTTTGTCTTCCAGAAATCGCCGTCGAAGGTCTCCCCGTCGGCCTCGGCATAGTCATCAAGCTCGGGGGCGAGAGTAAGAGCGAAAGTCTTGTAATCCGCACTCAAGGGTTCATAGCCGAGATCAGTGTCAAGGTCGTAGTCGAAGAGCTCACCCCAACAGGCTGAGGGCAAACCGTACTTGGTGTCGACAGGGGCATTGCAGTCGGGCTTGGCCGCAGCAAAGCCAGCCGATGTGCTACCAGCTCCAGGAGCAGATGTGCCAGAGGGGCCTTGAGAGTTGGAAGGAGACGAGCCGGATCCAGAGGCCGAAGGTCCGGCAGAGGCGCTGCCAGAGGGCGACGAACCCCCTACGGTGGTAGCAGTCACAATGGACGTCGAGCCGCCACCCCAGGCGAAGGAGGCACCAGACTGGGTGTTTTGGGCGCGAGCAGTGGTCGTGGGCCTGGCAGAGCTGGTCGTGCCCTGCCCTCCGACGCCAGGCAGGGTCTTGGTGCTCGGGCTCTTGGGGCCATGGCCATCGTCGCGAGGAGTCCACCAACCCCATTCGGTCTCACCCTTGGAGATAACGTCATCCGGGTGGCAAGGCTTACCACCGGCGACAATGACGAGGTCGCCCTTCTTGTAAGAGAGAGCCTTGACCTGGAAGTAGCAGCGATCGCCCTTGGCATAGTCGCCGCAGCCAGGGACGTACACAATGAGGATGACATCTTCGTCATCAGCCCAGGTAGAGACAGCGTGCTCGTATGCCTCTTCGGAGCCGAAACCGATCGTCAGTTCATCCGAGTCATACTTGACGTTCGTCACGTGGTCACAGTGGTCGAGGTTAACCGAGGGGCTCTTGAAGTAGTAGGTCAGGAAGGCGAAGTGACCGGCCTTGGAAGGATCTGAGTGAATTTGGGTTAGTTATCGAATGTGAGAAGCTGATAGAGAATTATGCCATACCAGTGATGCCGTAAAACATCTCGGAGGCCTTCTCAGGGGCGATGGGAATGACGTTCGTGGCCGGGCGAGTGTCATAGTTCCAGTGGATGGCGGGGGTAAGGGTGGCCATGGGAGCATCGTGCTCAAGGGTAGCAGTCTTGCTTCCCTTGAAGCCAGAGTCTCCATGATCTTCAGCGATGGAGGGCTCGGGAAGAGAAGGAGCCTCGTACGCCTTGCGGTCATCGTGGGCACCAGCATCGCAGTGAGCGGGCTTGGCCGGGCATCCCTCGGCAGGACGGGCGTAGACAATGACAACTTCAAAACCCTGCTGCTTCGGGGCTTCGATGGAGGAGTTGGCATATTGTGCGCGCTCTTCAATGGCTGGAAGAGCTTGAACAGCGGCAGCAGCCCCAAGAAGGGCTGCAACAGAGTTAAACCTCATTGGGGAAAGAGCGTAAGGGTCAGAAACTGACCAACAAATAGAGCAAAAGAGTGACTAGATCCTAAGGATCCACAAGGGGACGCACGAGAGAGTGACTGAGGATGGCAATATTCCTGTCGATCTCGTCGCAAGCGGCTCGATACCTTCTTATACAGGATCCCAAATATGCGGGTTCCTCCGCTTGAAGCCGTGTAGCAGGGCGCCTAGTCCGTTAGCCCACCCGCCGTGCTGGCTCCAGACCTCGAGCGTTTGCCAATTCCTCCTCTCCGGAGATTGCCAACACTCAATTTGCCGTCCTGATGAGGCTCTCGTGAGGACCATGCGGAATGAAGAAGCAATAGTAAATGCATGGCTCGGACGAGACTGTTGTTGTTCCCACAGCGCCCTGCAGTGGGCCTGCAGCTCAGCTGCGTCCTAGCCGGCACCGGGCATGGAAGCGGCCTGGATGCGGAAAGCCATGTCCCAACTGGGGAAGAGGCCAACAGACGTAGCCCAAGCCAGCGTCTTGTTAGCAGCAAGCAGAGAGCGCTAAACGGCAATAGACATACGCCATAGCGGCTGAGCGCGATGCAAGTGCACGCTTGCGCAGGGGTAAAGCGTGGCGTGGTTTTCAGGGTCACCTTTCAGCTGGATAAGCGACGCGCTAATGACATGCTTTTCCACGTTTTGGACGAGGTAAATCAGACGAGGCGAGAGGACAAATGCTCCGATCGGTCGTGGCCGAGGTCCGCAACTTGATTCCCAACAGGCATGTTCTCGGTCTTCTACCAATCATGGTGAGTTCGACGCAGGACAGTATCGAACGTCAACGCCAGCGACGCCAGCCACGAGGCCGACTCACGAGTCAATCGGGAATTTAGCGGCGTGGGAGCGCTCGGTTAGGGAAAAAGGTTTCCAGGGTCTGGTTTTAAGGTGAGACCCTTTCCCCATCTCGAATTTGCGAAGATTGCCATGGCTCGAAAGGATGGCCTTTTGCCCGGTTAACTCCGACAACCATACGTGCTGCCTGCCATGTGAGGTGGATCACTTGTCACGACATTTTTTCTCCCTTTTCGTTTGCATAATATCTGTCAAGAATATTGGGAATGAATCTCGTGGAATTTCAATTATGTACACCCTCCTCGCTATATGGAAGATTTGCTAAAGAGAATGAAATTTGACAGAATAGAAAGGGGGCTCTTCAGAGTGTCATGCTGGCCGGCCATGCTTCTCTCAGTCAGCTGGTCAATGCTCACTTCGAGCCCGACGTGGCTGGATTGCCTGGATGTATCTCATCTCACATCTCAGAATGAGCATGCTCTTTAGTAACGGACCCAGCGGCCACGGATGGAGCGGGCCTTGAGCCTCGTGGGGCCGACAGACGAGGAGATGATGCTCGAAACCTGGCTGGCGGCGACAGGCTTGACGAGGAAGCTCTTGCTCTTGGCAAGAGTGCTGAGCGCGCTGGTGGTCTTCAGTGAGAGAAGGGCACCGCTGCCAGAGGCCTTGTTGACCTCGCACGCGCGGCCAAGGGCCGAGGAGCAGGCAGACGCGGCGGCGCTGTCGGGGACGTTGTAGACGGTGCCCTTGTTGCTGCTGGAGGTGAAGGGGTTCTTGACGGTCTCGAAAACGTTGCCCTCGATAAGAGCAGTGGCTCCAGAGTAAATATCAAAGGCGTGGCCCTGCATGTTCTTGAAGTAGTTGTTGGTGGCCTGGAAGGTTCCGGTGGTACCATCCTGGCCAAGCTTGGGGGCGCGGCCGGAGACATCGTGGTAGTAGTTCCTGTCCAGGGTGACGCGATCGCCCTTTCCGTAGAACATCATGGTCCAGTAGTGGTCGCCGTTGCAAGAAGCAGAGGTCGTCGTCTGGCCGTCGAACTCGCTGTTCGAGACAGTCACGCGAGATCCATCGTAGTGGGTGACGATGAACATGCGGCCGACGAGGGAGATCTTCATGTGGTCGATCCAGACACCGTCGTTGCCGCCCTTGAGGTCGATAGCATCACCACCCCAGACGATACCAGGGTTGAGGTTGCGGATCTCGAAGCCCTGGATGATCACGTTCTTGGCGTTCTTCTTGATCTGGAGACCCTTGCCGTTGAGGACGCCGGCACCGCTGCCGATGATGCTCTTGTTGCTGCCAACAATGAGGGGCTCGAGTCCGGCCTTGTCGTACTTGATGGAGCTGACAGCGACGTTGTCGGAACCTCCGCACGAGAGGGTTCCAAGGTAAAGTTGACCTCCGTTCTTGGCGCTGCAAGACTTGCGGTCGCAGCCAGAACCCGTGGCCTTGGCGCCGGTGAAATCCCAGGTCTTGTTGATAACGATGGTGCGGGGCACATCGTCAGCCAGAAGCTTCGCCAACTCGCTGGCAGACGTGGGTGTGACGGCCTTGGCGGATCCACCGCCAGTGACGCCGGTAGCGAAGCCGTAGGCCTTGCCGACGACGGTCTGGGCGGTCGCCGCCGTAGCCATGACCATGGCGCCGAGGAGGAAATTGAGATGCATGGTTGAGATAAAGAATGGATGGTGCGCACGGCAGTGTTAAAAGAGAGGACTGATGGGTAGTGTTGAGATAGCTACGCCGGCGCAAGCTAGTGCAAAGTCAATAGAACTGAAAGAATGGAAGATGTTACAATGATCTGTCAAAAAGAGTAAACGAACGAATGTGGTTGATGAAAGAGTAGAATCCCACAAGGCTCTGCTGATGTTGGCCTTTAATGCATTTGACGATTCTCTCCCCCGTTCGGCCAGTGCATCGACGAGGCTTCAGGCCCCTGCTTCCCTAGATTGTTTGCGTCGAATCCCGAAATCCTAGGACCGCTCGATCAGCAGCATCCCGTAACATTGCTCGAAAATGCCCTTTAGGACCGCGGTCCAGAGCATGGTGGGACCATTGCAACAGGCATTGCCATGATCAAGCGTCAGTGAACCTCTGCGCCTCGCTCGAATCGGAGCCGAACGGCGAGAGACTTGCCAAGAACGTCGTCAAGCTAGTCCTGATGCCTCGTTCTGAAACGCCCTTCCTGGGCCTCCGATATTACACAGAGCTGGGGCCCCTCCAGCCTCATGGCACCAGCATCTTGACAGCCCCTGACAATGTAATGAGATTGTGGAGGATTGCCGCTCAAAGAGTCGCTACGATAGTGAATGTGGGTTGTTGCTGGAGCCTGTACAGAATCACGGGATCCCCCGCCGCCACAGAGCTCAATTGAAGCTCCATTCGAGAACTTGTTTCACGTAAGATATCCATGAGCTGACGGCTGTCGCGTAGCCACTTAGTCTAGCCTTTGATTCTGCATTGGCTATTTTCCCATGAGTCTCGACCATGATAAACAATCTCATGCCATCCAAAAGCTCCTCACGACTTTATCAAACCGTAGATCTCCGCCACAAGTGTCGTCGTACGCCATTCTCGAGAAAGAAGGACTTGCCGGGTATCTCTTAATCGATTCTTACGCGGCTGTTGAGATCCTCGTCTGGAGCCTTGCTCCTTCATTTAACACGGGCCATGTGCTACTTTGCGAGAGCTGAGATATCCAAACAGCTGAAATGACGAGGAATAAGAATTGGGTGCAACCAGGCGTGTGATTTGATGATGAAGTTGTGGAGTCGTTGAGCAGAGTTTTCCGAGGTCTGCTTACTGTCATTGGTTTTTTGGAAAATTTGGGTTTTGAGCCAGTTCGACCTGCAGTCTTTTGTAGTCTGCTGTATGTTTTGGGCATGGAATAAATCCTCATGTCTTAGCACGGATGTCTGGACCTGACGTTGCAGTTGAGATGATTTAAACGTCACCTACACCATGGAGATCGCTTAAAACACGAAAGTTTAGAGTTTGATGTACTGCCGTTAGCGACCTGTGGATCGTGACCCAAAATAGAGGCCAATCCAACATCGTTGTTAAACCTTATGTCGTCGCGCGGTCATCAGCCTCCAACTTGCGATGCATGTAAACAGCCATCACTCCTGGTTCAAAGAAGTCCTGGGTGTGACGCGTCTTAGCCCACCTTCCATTGGCGTACACGGTCAAATGATAGGTATGAACTGTGGTGTTCCGGAGCGTGGCAGGAATGCTTTACACAGGCAGAACTATAGTCGCTGTTGTGCCGTAATCATTCATCTGTAGAAACTGGAAGTGAGGCTGCTGGAGCATGGTAGCGACTAGAGATCAACTAGGCGTGCCATTGCATGAGGCCTCCTGCCAGGCAGCGAGCAGTGAATTCAATCTTCGATACCTAGGTAAGGTCTTGGTACAATCACTGACCATTCAGCTGTGGCGCCTCTACGAAGGCCAGCAAGGCTCTTTCCTATTTTCTAGCAGTAATCCGATGCGCCGATGGCCAAGAGAACAAAGTGATGCGAGGCGCTGGAAGGGGAGGGAGGGATCAAGGTGCTGTAGATCATGTGGGGGTGCGGACTGATCGGCAGATTGAATGCCATGGCACTACGACTTAACCTCGTGGACTCTCACAGCTCAATACCGAATACCGGCGATGCACAGGCCCTGGGGGGGCTTTTGGTGGTACGGATGGATGTAGGAGCATCTGCCGGATGTACCATTTCTGCAGCTGGACCAGCAGATGGTCGCGATTGCTCGGCAGACACATTCTACCTACCTTAAATAGGCATGTGACTGAGCTCGCGGTAGGTCTCAATCGTCGTACTGTAGGGGAAATCCCGCCGTCCAACGTGCATAACTGCGGGCGGATACCCTACCACCCCCAGACGCATACCACAGCAGCATCGGGTACGACGTGAGGGCGCTAAAAAATAGAATGACAACTTGGAACTCGGTGAATACTTTGGTGCTGATTGAAGGGGTATAAAGTGACAGGACGCTCAGCCTGAACTCTTCATGGATGGCATGCTTCGGATCCCAGCTCAAATCGAAACCTTTCCATATTCCTGCTTACCATGCCTCACCCCCAGCCTCGCCGCCTCTCCCCTGAGTTTACCAATGAGGATTTCAACGCCTTTGTGAAGGCCATTCTACCCATTGTCGGGGATGAAAATCTTTCCATCGTCTCGGCTGATGTAGAGCTGTAAGATGGAGATTATGTCAATCCTTGCAGAGCCCACGACATGCATGCCGTGTACGACAAAGAACTTCTCATATCATGCGCCGTTGTTCATCCGAGGACTGTCACCGAAGTTCAAGAAATCATGCGACTCTGTAACAAAATGCAGATGCCCGTCTGGCCCTCCTCTGTGGGCCGCAACACCGGATACGGAGGAGCTGCACCACGGCCCACGGGTCCCGGGTACACTCGGCATGGAACTTGGAAGACACATGAACCAAATCCACGAAGTCAATGTTGATGGGGCATATGCTTTGGTTGAGCTTGGAGTCACCTTTTTTAGCCTCTATGACCATCTCGTGAAGACTGGTCTTGATGAGCAACTATGGCTAGATGCGAAAGAAGGACGATTCTCGCCCAAGGTTGATTAACCCTCGTTCTCTGACAATATTTAATCAGGCTCCAGATCTTGGAGGCGGTTCCACTATTAGTAGGCACCACTCAGACTTCTGTGCGTACCTTAGTTGTCAGAACTTGGTACTAACCGGCCTGACAGCTCCGTATGGTGGTCAGTAGCTCGTAAGCTTACCACCAAGCCCTTTCCCATCTGAAATGATTTACAGACCATTTCATGATGCATTGTGGCATGGAAGTTGTTCTTCCAGACGGCACTCTCGTCCGCACCGGCATGGGGTCGCTTCCCGATCCTGCTAATCGGAACTCGAATCTTTCAGCCGATCAACAGCCAGCTAACAAAGCTTGGCAGCTATTCAATTACGGGTTTGGTCCATATAACGATGGTCTTTCTACCCAAAGCAGCCTTGGTATTGTTGTGAAGATGGGAGTTTGGGCGAGTTCATTCTTCGGCACGAAAAAGCCCATAGATTTGGGAAGGCCTTGTTGCTAAACACCTACTTCAACAGTTGATGCCGAACCCGGGAGGTTATCAGGCATACATAATTATCCTTCCCCGTGACAAGGACCTCGGTGCGACTGTTGACATTATCAGACCTCTGCGCTTGGTTGGTTGAATCCTCTGTTCTTTGCCTATCTGGTCTACGATATTTCTAGCATTCCACTAATGAAGAGAACTCAAGCAAAGGTGCTTCAAAATGTCCTCACCATCCGCCACATCCTCTTGGATGCTGCGGTTGCAGAAGATAAAGCCTCGCACACGGACAAGAAAATTGCTCTATTAGATGATGAGCTGGAAGCCATAGCAGAAAAGCTAGTTCTAGGCGACCCTACGGAGTCGCCAAGTAGGGGGTCGGCCGGGGGCTAAGGGCTACGAGAAACGTATAGATAGGCTGCGGAGGGCCGTCCAAGCTGCGGAGGGCCAGAATTCAGATGCATTCCGACCCCCTACCCGTCTTCTAATTGCCTGTGGACCACGTGTGGAAGACCTCTTCACTCTGCTCCCACAACGCTCTGACACGGAGCTCTGGTTGGGGTTAGTATTGATCTCTCGTGTGCCTAGGTAGGGTAACGCGGCGTGAGGTAACCCAGTGGGGCTGACTGCGATATGCCCCTCACAGAGGCTTTGATTCGCTTATTAGGGCTTGCTCTATTCTACTTCTCAGTATGCGTCTGATGACTTTCTCCTCTTTTTGATATACTAGGGTCCTGCCGATGCAGTAATCGAAAGATTAAACATATCTAACGTAACTGCGAGGAGAACGGCCCGACGCAGGAAGTGACGCAACTCGAGATTGCGATACATCGATCTCCGTTTCATGCCTGATATCATCACCAAATCATGCATATGGCTTCCTCTCCGAATTTACACCACTCACTTTCCATACATGTAACAGGCTCACCCTGGAACGTTTGCCACGCCGTATTCGATGCGACAGAAATGGACAAAAGGCTGGATGTACGTATTGTTTTCTTATTTCTGAGCTGACCATTATGTAGGCTCGATACTTCAAATCGTATGTGGACGCTTACATGTGTGCAAGCGGTTCCACTTTCCGACCTATCTTCACTTCGTAGCCGGGTGATTAATTATGATTCATTGCCACCCTCGCACGGAGTTTGCTGCATGTTCTGGAATCTTGGCAAGGTGCCGATTCGAGTTATAAGTTCTGTTCAAATCGCTTTGCAAGTTTTGGAAACCATGCGCCACCATTAGCCCGAATGTTGAGCAACTAGACGTTGATAGCAACTGCCTTACAACGGACAAAGATCCCGAGTCTTCGAGCGATGGCCACGGATACCTCAAGTCACCCAGCTGCCTTGAAACGTCTAGGTTCGAAGCGTGTCCGTTTCTCCTTGCCCTCTCTCAAAAGTACTTCTGCGTCTTCATAAAGTTCATGCCAGCAGCGAAGTGGAACAGCTTGGCCGCGACAATCATACGATCCTGCTTGGAGTATTCGACCAGCTTCTCGTAGAGCTCCGCCAGAGGCACGACCACCCGCTGGATGTGCTCTCCGTCGTCCAGGCGCTGCTCCGGCTCCGGCTCATCCTCCTTGAGCTGGACCTCGACCATGACCATCTGCATGTTGGCGTTGGTCATGCCGGGATCGGCCGCCTGCGGCGGGCTGACGCTGAGGACCTTGCACTGGTAGCCCGTCTCCTCCTTGAACTCGCGGACGGCGGCCTGCTCGGCCGTCTCGTCGGCGTCGACGAGGCCAGCGGGCCATTCGACGGTGTAGGAGTCGAGGGGCGGCCGGTACTGGATGACGAGCATGGTGGAGGCCGGCTTGGACGGGTGGAGGAGGATGTTGCCCATGGCGACGGCGTCGATGCCGGCCTTGCTCGTCGTCTTGCGCGTGGCGACCTCCCAGGAGCGCGACTTGCCGACCTGATCGACGTAGTCGACCTTTTTCAACGTCACCCAGCGGGCGTCAGCCGTGGCGAGGTCAGAGACCTTGGTGATGACGGGCTCTTGCGTTTTTTGTGACATTGCAGCTATGTGATGATGTTTTCTTGTGATGGGTGTTGAAGACTGGCCGCTGGTTGCCAGGCCTTGCGTGGTGACTGTGGTGGATTGCAATGAGGGGCAGAGATGTGATGACTAAGAGCGGCCCCTCCCTTGCGAAATGTGAACATGGCTTGTTCACCGGGAGCCGGTGTCCAGTGAATCAGAATGAGCTGTGAAAATGAAACTTTCAGGGATTATAGATATGACTTTAGAGTTGGTTCTCATTTTGTTATCCATGGACGAAAACAAGGTTGTGCGGTATTAGGAAATCTTCCAAGGCCGGTAGCGGGCGGGAAAGAATCACAAAAATGCGCCGATGACTGCAGATTCGCCCGACCAACCGTCCAGAGGGCATTTTGACGGCTCGAATCCTCTGAGAAATTTCTTCACTTGCACGTCAAGAAACAGTCGCCCTTTCCACCGTGGTCCGTCTTTCCCTCTCATGCCGAAACTCACTCCCGCACATCTCGCCAGAGACCTGATCCGCCCCCTCCAGTTCCCCCCTTCCCAGCCTCGCAGCCGGCGCCCGCGGCCGCAGCAGGTAACACCAGTGAAACACATCCGGCTCCGTCGGGCTCATCTTGGGCACGGGAAACTTGTGCAAAACCTCCACATCAAACGGCAGACGCTCGTCCGAGAATCGGGCCGACGAGTAGCTCAGCGAAACCCACACGGCCCCGGGCTTCAGACACCTCTCGACTCCCTGCCCCATTCTCAGCACCATGTCGTCGCCCCCACACGCCACGGCGTCGACGGTGCTCTTGTCGACGACGAGGTCGAAGGCGCCCAGGTCGGCGGGCAGCTGCGTGACGTCCGCGACGCGGAACTCCATCCTCGAGTCGCCGAAGCGGGCCACCTCGAGGGCGCGGCCGCGCTCGCACGCTAGGGGCTCGTAGTCGAGGTTCGTGACGGCCGAGAAGCCGCGGGCGCGAAAGTGGTTCTGCAGGTCGCTGGTGCCGAAGCCGAGGTGGCAGATGCGGGCGTCGGGGCCGAGGGATAGGCTGGCAAGGAGCGGGTTGAGGATGGCCATGAGGTCTGAGGAGGTTACGAGCCACTCGAATGATTCCTCGCGGGCGAAGCGATCGTGCCAGTAGCTTTGCTTCTCGAAATCCATGGTGCAGCGTCCCCCGTGGGGTTGAGTGTGTGTAAGGTTTTGGCGCCTGTGGTGGGGCGGCCTTTCTTCCTTTGCCGCAAGGTACTTGTGACTGACCTGTGTGTTGACTGCAGTCCGCTGTATCCTGAGCGCTCAACAAATCTGAGGGGCGAGGGAATGTTTGATACATGTCACGAGACAACCATGTCAGGTTGCAGTCAGATATGTTCAAAAGTCTTCACTGTGTTTCCGGTTTTTGGCGTGCCCACTCCGGTGCGACCTTGGCGGCTCCACGGCCCCGGAATTGACATCGGCGGGATCGGCAAGTCCGGGATGGGGCCGTACATGGTCATGTTCAAGTTGTTGAGTCACAATATGGGATATTTGATGTCACGACAGATGGGCTCCTCAGTAAAAGTGGTTGTGTAATGTCCTAAAAACGTAAAATCAGAAAGGGGTATAGCAAAGTAGATGTGTCACGCCCAACAAAGCCCCCGACAAGAGAACGTATGACCTGGGTATCAGAGTCGATGCGCTGGAGGGATCATCCACTTTCTCGCCAGTCGCGCCGACAACAGAGTCTCCCGTGCCGTACTGCACATTGACCACAGATTTGTCCTTGAGCGGGACTGGCTCGCCCATGGTGTGGGGACACACAGCCTGGTTGGCGGCGGGCCAGTCGAGCTCGCACTCCTCGTCGCGGCCAACGGTACAAAGAGGGTCTAGGACGTTGTATAGGACGTGGTTATCCTTGACCCAGTTGTCTTCAGGCGCGTCGAGACAGCTCGCAAGAAAGTTCATGCTGTTGGGGGCACTCAGCGGCAGACGACTGCCTTTGGTATGGATGAGGTCGTCGCAGTCCGAAGCGCTGAGGTTGCGGTATTGCATCTCGACAGGTCCCCCCACGGCAGGCTCGTCGCGCGCCGACTTGCCAGTGTACAGGTAGTTCCAGGCGTCGTAGCTCATATCGTAAGCGCCCTCGGAGCGGTCGATGCGCAGCAGCTTGACTTTGCGACCCTCATGCTGGACCTCGACGCAGATGTCATTACAGCTGATGGCGGCAGGCCAGTAGGCGACACGATTAGTGTCAATCTTGCAGCCTAAGACGCCGACAGAGGACGAGTATTGCTCGTGAGGGGTGGCCCAGATTGTCTGTTCGCTGTCGGAATCATCGGCGGTTGTTGGGAGAGGGGCCAAGAGGATGGCCAGAGCGGCGGCTCGCAGGGCAAGGAGGCGCATTGATAAATGAATGACAGTCGCCAAGATATTTTGTGTCGAACGACAGGCGACAGATGACAGCGAAAAAGAGCGTAGGTGCCGCGCCTGGGCGGCGTTAGGACGATTGCAATCAAAGATCGCAGCGCATGGTGCGGTGGGTGAAGAGAGAGGAAAGACAAAGTCGTCAAGATGGGGGCCACGAGCCGGGGAAATGAGACCAAACCCGGACCAGACCCCAGATGATAGAGCAAGACGGTGGGGAGGGAGGGCCCTGAAGAACGTGTGTACCTGACGACCTGCATCAATTTGCAATTGATGGTGGTACCTGAGCTTGCTGGTAGGGGACCCTGATACTGAAGCAGTTATCCGTTGTACCGCCAAGTCGGGGTCGACGGGCCGGGAAAGAGCCAAAGGGGAGGGGCCAAGGACAAGGAGGCAGGAGCACATGCTTGGCCTGCCCCATTGCAACTGCCCCGCCAGTGGGGGAAGCTCTTGCTACCTGGACCTATTCTGCCGGACCTGCCACTTCTGCATTTACCCATCTTTTGCTCTTTTGCCTGGTCTTTTGCCGTCATCTTCTCAAAAAGAAGCATCAGGCATTGATTTTCTGTGTCGTGGCCTCTCTCGATCAACCAACATTTTCCCACCCGAGAGCCAAGTGTTCACCCAACACCCATCGAGCACAGGGGTCATACGACGACACCACAGCAGCCACGCATAATGTCTGTGCGGCCACCTCCCAAGAAGAAGTCGGTCGTCTTCTTCCACCCTGACCTGGGCATTGGCGGTGCCGAGCGCCTCGTCGTTGACGCTGCCATTGGCCTTCAAAACCGCGGCCACAAGGTGACCATCTTACG